CACACAGACACACACACACACACACATAGAGACATGCATTTGTAGACATACCGACACCCATTGATAGTTCGCCTTTGTTGTCGTCAGTGTTGGGGGCTGTCGGTTTGCTCGGTTTCTGTTTGTTAGCCGCCTTTTGTTTTATCTCCAACAGCACCAGCACCAGCACCCGCAAGCCCACTCCCCCTTCCCAATTGACTACGAGTTTCCTCTGGCAAATTCCGCACCGAAAGCCGGACATTTCTCTATAATATTTCGAGTGTTAGTTAATCACTGGAATGGCTATAAATCCTTTATTTTCAGCCCTTTTACTTGGCGTAAAACTTTCAATAAAAACGAATAGAAAACAAGTGAATTTTCTGGGAAATTCTCAAATTTATTGCGGATTTTTTAAAGCAAAAAATAATACAAGATAAACCCGATACATTAAGTAAATTCAATATTTCTCAGAAAAATAATTCTCTCCCCTATTTCCTAAATTTGTTTCCCAAATAGTTTCCCAGGCTGATTTTCACTCAAAGCCGCGACACACACACACACACACAGATGCCCGTGGGGCCCACATGTTTGGCGGCTTTTTCGCTTTGACATAATCAAAACCAAACCGAAAACCCGACACGATCCAAGCGCACATATGACGCAGCGATCCCCAAAATACAAAACAAAAAAAATAAAAACGAAAATACCAAAATGAGAAGCGTAGCGGGGAGAGGCAAAAGCAAAGGCCGCTGTCGGCGTCCACTCAAAGCTAATGACCGACAAAGCGTTTTGTATTATTTTCAATTTCATTTTCACCATACACAAACTATGAGTATTTCCACGCCCCGAGTCGCCTCCGTCGTCGCCGTGGTCGTGGTCGTGTTCGTTGGACACTCTACGCTTCGAGTGTCGCTGGCTGGCCGCCCCTGCTCCACGTTCCACGCCCGTCTGCATTAAATATTATTAAGATAAGGCAGAAAGGGGAGTTCGCTTATCAATCAGACGTCAGAGGGTACCGCCGTCGACACCCCGAGGTACTTTTTGCAAAGAAGAAGAGCCCCAGCGAAGGGGATCCAAACACACAACACAATTCTTCCATCACACTTATTGGAAACTCGAAAAGAAACCAAAAATAACTGCTAGATTGTGCTGTCTTTGTGTGTGTATTGTTTCCCCAGAAATTTCCTCTGTTGTTTGGGCTTACAATTTACATATAGGCTAGAAGTTATGGGTCTTTCAAAAGAAACACAAAGAGAGAGAGAGAGAGAGCAGTACGAGAAGTTCCAAGAAGTGCGGCAGAAAGGCCAGAGAGCCAATTGCTAAATCAACACAAAACACGGCCCCAAAAAAAAACATAAGCCGGCGGGACCAAAACAAAAACCTCAAGAGTCATTACATATATCTTGTGCCCCATGCACCCTCCTTGGACCCACTGCCCGGCCGCCCAGCTGGATGCTGTTGAGCTGCTGCTGGTGCTGGTGCTGGTGCTGGTGCCGCCGCTGCTGGAGCTGCAGAAATGCAGAAGCTACGAGCTAACAGCTTTTTATCTTTTGGCACAAGGCGACCGAGGCAGCATGGGGAGGGAGGAGGCATTGTTTCGGTCTACCCAAAAACCAGTCCTGTCCTGCCTGTCGAAGCCCGTTCCGATTCGAACCAAAACAGAGCCCAAGAGCCCAAGAGCCCAAGAGCCGAACCAGCACCGCCATATAGGGGTCGCTGGCATGTCATCGAAATGGCAAATGCTCCAACGCTCGAACGGCAACTTCCTGGCTAATATTACGAAAATTTCTTATAGCAGGCTATTGGCCCCGCACTACGGATGCAACTGCCCCTCTCCACTCGCCACTCTCCCCTTTGCCACTCTCTTTTGCGGTGGATCAGCACACCAAAATAAAAGTCCAGAGTCAAAGTTGGAAGTTGCAGCTTGAGCGCTGAGGAGCGCTGCCACAGTCTAAGGCCTGTCAGAGCAGCCAACGCGATTCGCCTGTTGCCTTCTACCGTAATTCACAACAACCATGATAATACCAACAACAACAATAACAACGACCATTATAATAACAGCAAAAGGCAACCGAAGAAGAAAAGCCAAGGCAAAAGTTGTGAAACCCGCCGCATTGGCCGTGGCCACAGTGGTCAGAAGTTTGATGGGTATAAAAACTCAATTTAATGCTTACATTTTTACGGTTTGTAATCGTAAGCAAATAGGACTTTTTCTTTTAGATTTAATCATAATTTCCTACATTTCTTTAACATGCAAAAAGTAATATTTAATTATAATTTCAAAAATGTAATTTGAATTGATTTAATTTGATTTGCAAATATTTGCATATTAGACTTTCAATTCACACCAAATATGGTTGTGTTCTGTAGGCTGAGGCATTTTGCTCTGTGTGCACTTCAACTTCCATTTTCAAAAACATTTCTTTGGACACTTTTAATTCCCCTAAATCCTTGCCTATCTCTACTCCATTTCTCCTACTGCTACTCCCTTTTGGAGTACCTCTGCTAATCCCCATTTAAACAGACATTCACTCTCTTGAGTCTGTGTCTCGTACCACTGTGGTGACGGCCTTTGGTGCCGCGCCTCAAAGCGAAAAGCGCATCTTTTGAACAGAGCGCAAAGCGCAGCTTGGCCCGCCACAGCATCCGATCCGATCAGATCCGAAGGCAGCAGCAGCAGCAGCAGCGGCAGAGACAGCGACAGCGACAGCGACAGGCAGGGCACTCAACGCAATGCCGCGCTCGCGCGGTGTGTATCTCAAAGATACAAAACAACGTACATACACTCGCTGGATTGTTCGTCTGTCTGTTCGTCCATTCGTCCATCTGTCGATCGTCGTTCCGTCTGTTAAAAACCGCTTTTGTGTATGGCCGCCACCGCCGCCGCCGTTGAGATGTTTGGCATAGTTGGCCAGGCCATGGAACTGGTTGGGATGTGGATGTTGGCTGTGCCATGGTGGAGTCGAAGCTGGAGATGGAGATGGAGCTGGGTCTGGGTCTGGGGATGGGGATGGAGTCGAAGCAGCAGCGGCAGCAGCTTGCAACGACTCTGCCGCCTGCCGCCTCTCGCTCAGTTATTATTATTTTTGCTTGCGGCGGCGGCGGCAGCGGCTCTACATCTTCTTGTTTTTGTTGTTGTTTTATCAACGTGAGGGTTTTAAAAGGTTTTTGTGTATGAGAGTCGGTCGGTCGGTCTGTCGGTCTTGGCCTCGTAGCAGCTGCCCCTGTCCCGCTGTCCCTCTACGTTTTACCTTTACCTTTACCTTTACCTTTACATTTTGCCTGCAACAGGTAAGAAATGTTCGTGCGTTGTTTTTAAACGGCGTCGGCATTTCAATTCGCTTTATTTTTTTCTCTCTCTCTCTCTCTCTCTCTCTTTTTCTGGAGCTCTTCCTTTTCTCTCCTGCCTCGTTGAATTTTTGTGGCTGCTGGTGCTGGTGCTGCTCGGTTGCTGCTTTCTTTGAAGTTGCATGCTTCGGTGTGCCTTTGGAGGTTTCCTTTGAATCCCCCGGTGCATCTGCAAGCAATTAGTGTATGGGGGCCCCCTGTGCTGTCCTGCCGACCATCACAGCAGAAGGAGACGCAACTCTCAACCTCTCGTCTCGACTCATCAGGAAGGGTTCAAAGTGTTGGCCTGGCATTTAATTGGCGCAGACCAATTGCCAGTAGAGGATCTCCATCTCCATCTCTCTCTTGCCCTCCGAAAAAAAGGGAGTACGTACGGGGATGGAATATACTCGTATTTCCAATGAATTTGTGGACAGAAAACAACAGAATGGGCAGAGAGACAACAAAAAACATTGATTGATTGATGTTCCTTCATCGATTCGGACATCAATGTCGCGTCTCGCTCGTTTGGCAGAAAGGTCGTCCGGCATTTCCAATTCTCGGGGTTCGGGGTTCGGCAGTGCTCAGGGCAGGGGTTTCTGCGGTGCAAGGGACCCTTGTTTATTTACGCGTATGATATGCTACCCATGACTAAGGAGAAGGTATCTTTATAGGCAGGAGCCAAGCGTTCTATTGATCCGATCTCCGATTCGATTCGATTGCTTCCCTGCTCTCTGTTCGATCTTCGATCTGTTTTCCAACACACAACAGAAGAAAAAAGTCTGTCTATTTATTTTCCATGCGTCGTTTTTCTTTTGATGTTTTGTAGTTGTTATTCCTCTGTTATATGCCCCGATTTTCCATTTTCCATTTCGTTCTATTTTTGTGTGTCGCGTCCCATGCCGCTCTCCACGCTCTTATCCCTCTCTGCACATTCTCCGGCTGTGTGTACCCGCGTGTACGAGTATCTGTATGTTCGAGATAAAAAAAAAAAATAGATGCAGTCCGCTGGGGGATTGCTTACATTTCATTCTGCTTCTTATTCCGATGCCTTTGTTATTGTTGTTTCAGCGTAATTATTGGAAAAGGATGTGGGAGAAGCCCTTGACTGAATGAATTCTGAATAGAAGATAGAGATGGTTGTAGGAACATATTTGTGTATCTGCCAGTGTGCGTACTACGAGTGTGTGTGGGGCACAGAAGGGCCATATTTCAGATCTTCAATGCCAGATTGTTGCATGTTAATGGGGGGAAAAGGTCTCTGATAACACATGCAGCACCAAGGAGGCATTTTGCATTGAATATTTAACATTAAAAGGGAATTTGGGAATATATTTACGGGGGGCATCAGGGATTTAGACTAAGAATTAACATGTGTAGGATAAGTAGAGGATTAACATTACTTCTGACCTGGAAATGATTGAAACCATCCTATCAGATATTTCTGCATTCAAACAGAACTAAAATACACCCATTTAAATTCAATTTATTTGCTGTATATTCCAACAAATTGTTTCCCTCGAACTTCCCGTCTGTCACAACTTTAGCACTCCCCAAGAGCATCACCATCCATCTTTTCATATCTTTTGGCAACTATCTTTGCACTGGAAATTCACTAAACAAGTTGGATGAAGGGGAGTGGAGTGGAGTGGAGAGGACAGGGAGGACGCCGCTTGCTGTTTGGATTTCTCGCTTACCTGAGAACTGTTTGTAGCCGCCGAGTATTTTATGCTTCCACCATTTGACAATGTTGCCCGCCATCTCTGCGAGAATATTTATATATGTATACACTCCACTATATAAATATATAGGTATGAATTTGTTTGTGTGTTTTTCCTTTTGCTGGTTAGCTGTAGATGCAGTTACTTCTTGGATATTTCGGCTCTTGCTGTTGTTTTGTTTGGCTGTGGGGTTGGTTGGTGTTGGCTCGTTGCTTGCTTGGGTTGAAAATTTACGAGCGGACACAGAGCCGGAGGAAGAGGTGGAGGCGTAGTCGCAGGACGACCTGCTGCAGCAGCAGCCCAAAATGTTTTACGGCCTTTGTGTGTGTGTGTGTTCTGCTCCCCTGCTGGATATCCTTTTGTATAAGGATCCCCGGATCCCGCAGTTGTCCTGGGCTCTCTAATATACTCTCCTCAGGTAGAAACTTCTGCAGTGTTGTTGTTTCCCTCTGGATTGTTGTTGTTGTTGTTGTTCCTGTTTTATGCGCTGCCGCTGAGCGACCTTAATTTGTATCTGGGTATTATTTTCGACTGTGCGGGTGGCAGGAACAGGACTCTCTCTCACTCCGTGGAGAGGCTGTGGCACTGGCTGGAGGGGGTGGCGTGGTCGTCGTAAAAGTTTTTACAGCTCTGATATGCTGCATTTTAGTTTAATTTGCGCATATTGCGCCCTCTGTATGTGTGTGTTTTGCGTATCTGCCAGATACTTTTGCCCGCGCGCAATTTTAATTGTAAAACATTTTTCGCCCCGACACGATTTGTTGTTTTTGCTGTTGTCGCTGCTGTAACTGTTTGTCTGCGTTGTTGTTGTTGTTGTTGCTGTTGTTGTTGCGCGATGTCGACGTAAATAACTTGGCGGCGGCTAGCGAATAAACAACAAAAACAAAGCTACTCGTACTTTACCAAAGAGGCTAAAAACAAAAAAAAACACAAACGATTTATTTCCAAATGAATTTTGTGTGTGGCGACGCAACGCTGGGGCTGGGGTGGACTTAAGCCGGGGGGTGTTATTGTTGCGGGGGCGGGTTTTTCGGGTTTTTAGCTCTTTCACTTGAATTTTCTCTCTCTCTCTCTCACTTGTCGCGTGCGTATCTCACAGATACGTTTTTTCTTTCAATTTATATTTGATTTCTTTCGATATCTTTTGGTGGGTTGGGGAACAAACTTCACTTTTGGTCCGTGGCTGTGACTGTTGTATGCCGCGGCGTATCTTCTAGAACGACGAGAATATCTCTGCTTCGCTGGTTGTATCTCACGGAACGACACACGACTCTCGCAAATGGCCCGACAAAAACAAACTGAACGGTACAAACGAATGCGGTACACGGTCGAGCGTCAAAAGTGGTTGAGGGACCAGTTGTGCTGCTACCCAACCATTTTTATACTCTGCTCAAGAGTTGCCGCTCTCTGAGCGCTCTCCGTGCGGGACCTATTTGGAGTGTTTCTGTGCCATGAAGAGCGGTAAGTACCATACCTTCCAGCGGCATGCCATGGCTCGCTCTCTCTCCCGCTCTCTTCGGGTGCTCAACGTGAGTGTTGAGTGGATTTGGCTCCAATGTTGTAGGCTTTGAGTGTTGTTTTGATATGATATGCTTTTGTTTATTTAAGAGCATTTTCAATGTGAGTTTTCGTGCTCTTTTGGGGCTGTGCCAGTGGTTTTTTTGATGGCCTGCCGAAATTTGTGAATTTTTAATGGCAATTTGTTAAATTAATATTTAAAGCTATGAAAAGCATATTAATTGCTTTCACCTGTGGAAATGTCTTTGCTTTTCCTTAAAAAATAATGACACCTGCCAGCTGGATAACCTTAGATCTTGCACAACTCCTTTCTAATCGTATTCAGAGTGCAACTCCTCATGGGAGTGTGAAACATCTTCAAGTGCAACAATTTCCACGCCCCAAAAAAGCGGAGCTTTCTTTTCTTGTGGCATCGAAGCCGACTTATGATTATACACATGCCTACTATATGATGGATAATACCCGGTTTTAATTTGACTCCCCTCTATGCATAGCCGCATTGAACATTTTGATTGTTTTTCAATTTGAGCGGCAACACAGCAACACCACACCACACATCTTCCATATCGAAGCCACCGCCGCCTGCTGAGCCCGAACATCAGGGCAATTACCCATAAAAAAAAAAAACCAAAAAAGAAAAGAGAAGAAAAAAAACACAACCGAGAAGTAACCCCAGAGCAGTGCCAAGCGAAGCCAAAGCCACGCCAAGCTCCAAGACCCGACGATAATAACAGAGCAAGGAGAATCCTGAATTACGCTGAAAACAACACACACAAAAAAAAAAGAAAAAGAAACACAAAGCTTTTTCTTTCTTCTCCGACGATCAAAAGCAGCGAGTGGCGGTAATGGCGATGATGGCGGCGGGAGCCCGCGGGGCAGCACACCAGATCTTCCCCTCAGTGCCGAGCCGAACCTGCCTCCCGGGGGTTCCACAGGCTTTCGCACCGTAAAACGTTTTCGGCTTTCGGGGTATAATGGCGCTGTAATTGAAGAAGAACACGCGATCGAGCAGAGGGAAGGGGCAGGTAGAGTAGAACCTCCTTCTAACAGAAGGGTTACGTTTCGTTCCATTCTTTTGCTGGGTCTGTGCCTGTTGTCCCTGGGTCTTGGGTCTCTTCTTTCCTGCCTCTGTCTTTGATCGACCTTCGTCGTCATCCACTGATCCATCGTCTTAATTTCATGATGTTCTCTCTATCAGATGCGGGGACCCTGATTGATGTCAGGGATCTGTCTGTCCCTGTCCGCCCTGCCCTGATATTGATTTATGTTTTCCCTGGCTCCTGCTGCTGCTCTTACCCCTTCTCTTTGCACTTATCCCCTATGCCGCTCTGGGGCATATTCTGTTTAATTTCGCACAATATTTTGCACTGCGTTTGACAAAAGTTGATGTACAGCCCAAGCCCTGTGTCAGCATTTCCACTTTGACTGCAAATGTAATTACCCAAAAACGAGTGGGGGAATCAGGCGGCGGGTCGCATTGGATGGATGGCCTCGACAGAGACTGGACATGGTTTGGGGGGCTTGGGAGGTGCTGGGAGGCCAGTCTGGATTCTGGCTTTGGTTTGGTTTGGCTTTCGGTAGGGGCCATGGCCATATGTGGATGGCAATAGGGTTTTGACATTTGCCCCGGACGATGACTGAGTGGCGGCCATGGCAACTGTCGCTGTAATTGACAAGCAAGCTGTATTGGAAACGCTCTCTGTCATTCTCTCTGAGTCCCAGTCCAGCTCATTCCCAGCTCCCTCTCTATGTGCCCATCCCCTGAGCAGCCTGCCCACATGTGTACGGCCAATCCTGATGAGTTTTTGAAGGGCCGGGGCTACTTATACATCCATATGAGCTGGTATGGATGTCCATATATGTATGTGCCAGTGCTTATTAGGTTAGGGCGGCCGTTTGGCTGCAGGAGATAAACATAATTGCCTTCTCTCGAACACTATTAATAGGAAAATTTATACATTTTTACACTCGCATTTAAGTTTATTTGTATAAAACGTATTCCAGGAACCAGCAAACTATCAAAACATTAAACTCTGATGAGCTGCCCCCACATATTTTCAGTAAAATTATGAGACGAACATAAATTAGATACGGGCTAGATCTCATTAAAAAATATGTGTATGTATTTATTTATTTTCCACAATCAAGCTCAAGCTAAAGTTTCATAATTATTTTCTAAAAGTCGTAAAAAGTCGTAATTAAATCAAAGAAAAATAATAAAAATGTTGCATAGAAAGAGGCTCGATGGTCGGTCGGTCGGTCGCTCGGTCGGTACATCGTCAAACTATTAAATAAATTAACTTTGTTGTAAGTGCTGGCGTCATAAATATTTATACTTTATTATATGTATGTTTGTCATAAAATTTAAATGAAGTTGTCCCCTCAATGGGCACTGGACAACGCTTTTATAAACAAATTTCCAAAGCAATTATGAATTGTAGTTTTTGGCGCTGCGACGGCGACGAGGCGACTGTGACTGACAGGAAATTATATTGTAAGGCCGTAAAACTGACAGGCCCAGGGCCCATGGACGAACCAAATGAGGCTCCCACAAGAGATCTTCAGAGTGCGTGTTGTTGTCTTTTTTTTTTGGGCCTCTTGGTAACATGTGCAACAGCAGCAGGCCGTTTGATGTCTTCTCTCACTCATCGTGTTCTTCGGCTTTCAAATGACTTTTACCCAGAAGTCGTTAAAAAAAACGACGAAAATTTCCAATTAATTTTGATAAACGCGGGCCCACAGCACCACCAAAATATAAAATGCATATGGAATGGAATTGGTGCTGTGGGGAAAAATGTTTCCCTCCATAAGCGGAAATTGTTACTGTGCATTGATTGGAGTCGGTGGAGTCGCTGGAGGGGAGAGGAGGGGCAGGTGCAACCAATTGTTGCTTATTAGCCAGAAATCATTAAAAATCTATACAAACACCAACCATTTTTTCGACTAGATAAAGCCATTTCAATCGGCATTTTTATGAGCTTTTTTTCGTCGTTTTTCGGCGCTTTTTGCCCGGTTGTTTCGACTAAGTTTTTACGATTTTACATTTACAAGAGTCCGCCATCCATCGATGACCATCAAACGATTAGGCCCTCAAAGAAATTTGTCTGTCTGTTGTGTGGGGGATTGGTAAGGGGATTATGGTTGCGTTACTGTGGGACTTAATGACCAGATTAATGATGCCAAAAACATGATGGGAGCGATAGATTAAATGAGAGCTATAAAAATGAAATGACTCTAAAAGAGGGAGATGCTGGAAAGTGGGTGGAGTTGGCCAGAGATCAGCACTTTACAGTTTCTCGAAATATCTGAAATTTCTGGGAGCTCATTTCGGAGATCTACTTATTGGAATGTTGGATATGTATTTCCCGAGAGAATTTCTCAAATTAAATAATACTACTACACCAACACGAATTAATATATAAACTGAGAAAAAGTGCAGTGATTAAATGCAAAGAAACTCAAAAAAAATATAATACATAGATATGAAATATATTATGTACATACTATGTACCCTTTCACTTATTTCCACATTTTTCTTTACCCGATCTGTTTTCATGTTAAGATTTTTCCATTTGCTTCGCCCCCCCTGAAGCTGTGAGAGCGGCAGAGATAGTCTCTTACTTGCTCTCCCCAGCCACTTCCATGCTCTCGTTGCAGATTTACATGTGTTTTTGCTAGTCTGCTACTTCCTCTCTCCCAGCACATGCCAACACAGCTGCACACCACTTTATACACCTCTCCCACTCCCACAACACAATGCACCAGCAAGTGGTCACTCCCCAAACGCACAAACTTGCGCTCTCTTGGAGTTGGAGAGTGTGAGAAGACAAGTATCAGAAACAAATGTCAAATTTGCGAGCAATTAGGCAGAGAACGATAAGGTGACAGTTGGAGAGAGTATAGAATGAGCGAGACACTAATCCACCCACGCATACACCTGCATCTAAATAATCTAGCACTTTTATTTTTTCACCCGGTTCAAGAACGCGATCTCAAAGTCGGCTCCGCGTTTCAGTCCGTGAAAATCGTGAAAATGGTGAAAAATCCAACAGGAAAATTGTCGCGGAGGTGTGTAACGATGTGTAGTGTAGTGATGCTGTGTTTAACCATGGAAAATGTCCAAAATTGTGTGTGTAGTGTTAGAACAATTACCGGGTCAAGTGCGGTGGCGAGGCGAGAGGCAAAATGGCAAATCGAAGTGGGAAAAGTGCGGAAAGAAGTCAAAATTAAGTGTAACAAGCGCACACACAAAAGATGAATAAATGTGCGCATTGTTTTGTCCCTTTCCCACTCAATCTTGTAATACGCGCACTGAAAAAAGAAGAGTAAAAAGGAATGTGCAAAAGCGCTAAGCGCCGGCGCTCTTCTTCCAAGTGTCTCTTTTGTAAGGTGAGACTGATGACTAACCGTTGACTCTCTCTCTCTCGTTTAGGTGTGTCCACTTGAACCTTTGTCCTGTAATGCCTCACCTTACATTAATAAGCCCACTAATACAGTTATTTAAATTTATTTTTTTCTAGAATGCCGAAAAATGTAAAAATGCAGATTGTAAAAGCTGTAAGAGATTTTTGCGGTTCCGTAGTCTCGCGGTGCCGAGTGTCGGTATGAAAGCAACACATAACGGCAAAAGATCATATGACAAAAGGTAAGACAGAGAACAGATTGTTTCTTTTCTTAATATGAAGAGCATGATCCTATGTTTTTCTTAAAGTCGATTTTTTGCTCTCTCCCTAAAATGTAAACGGGTGTTTGTTGGGCCAGGGAAATCATTTTTTTTAGAATGTTCCATCTGTCG